AATTAAATCGGGTACGAACGTCCTTAGGAAATCTTTTGGGTCTTTTTCCATTTAATTTGCAAAATCTAGCCCACTCTTATTATTTGTGGATGACCTCACAAGTATGAAATTGCTTGCTTAATTGGAGAAAGAAAATTTTCAAGACATCATATATTGTACACATAAATGTAAAACACGGCAAGAACACCTAATATTGGAAAAACACCACCAAAAGTTGGTTGTTACACTTCTTCTAGTTCAGGAATACAAGCGGTATTTGCAAATGCATTGTCAAAACCAATTAAAAAAAAAATTCATTCTAAAATAGTTTTTATCATTTTATAGATGTTATCGGTAGTATGTCGTTCATCAAAAACTCTAAAAGCAATAATTCATTTTTGCATGATCCAATTGATTATCAATCCAATAATAAGTGGTACCCCTAGAGGAGTGTATTTGTTACTCCAAATATCAGAATAAATAGAAACACGACCGTCAAAAGCTCAAAATAACTTTTGTAAAACCCTTTTTCCTTTTTTAAAAAGATTATATACAACGTGGGTAAGAGTAGTTCGAGGAATACATTGGCAGCGAGATTCTAAACGTTTTGACAATAATCAATAAAATCGACTTTTTTTTACCAAAACTAAAAAACATTGTTCGACAGAAATAAATCTAGATAATTCTTTGCAAATTTTTTCAACGGAAAAATAAAAAGTAGGATTAGTGGGGTACTTGGAAATTTGTGTTTGATTTTTTTTATTGGATTTTTCTTTCTTTTGAAGATGCTTCTGAAAGGTTCTATATCCACTTCAGTTGAATTTGAAAATCTGGCCGTAGTAATTGCAGATGACATGGAAGGAGCCATCGATATTTCGGACCTTCTTGAAATGAAGCTTCAAGATGTTCGCCTTTACTTTGGCTCCTATATTGAATTCCTTCATCTTGATGATAATGTGCTAGATTTCTTGAATTACTATAGTCAAACTTCCAAAACTCTTCTCGGCGAAGTGATGGTTTCCGCTTGCCATCAAAATCAGGGAGAGAGCTTAAAGAGTGTGATCAAAGAGCGTAAGAGAGCGTAAAAGAGCTAAAGAGAGTCTTATGAATGCTTAATCAAATGTGTAAGGAAGAATGATAGGTTAGGTGGTATTTATAGGTTTTAGAGTTTTTTCATCCCTAAAATGCCCCCAAAATTAGTTATTTAGCTGTTGAAAGGGGTAAATTTGTCATTTTATTTTATTTTTTTAATTATGAAATGATCAAAATACCCTTGAAAATAACCATTATATGACTTTGGGAGGGGCAAACTAGTCATTTGCCCCTAACAATCGATCGTTGGACTGTTTGGGCTCAAATGGTCAGCCCAACGATCGGTTAAGCTCGTTTGATCAAGCCTTTTTAGTTTTTTTAAAAAATTGTGAATCAGCAATTCAATCCAAAACCTGAACTGTCGGTTTAGGAACCATCAGTTCCGATTTTCCAAAACCAGGAACCGAAACCGAACCCCCTAGGGCCGATTCCTGTTCAGTTTGGAACTGGCAAACTGCCATGCTGGTTTGGTTCCGATTCAGGTCTAGACAGAGCATCTCATCACTTTGCTAGTAACCATGAATGATTTTTGCATATTATGATCTTTGTTTCAAAGTAGAGGTTCCAGTGAAAGATAATTTTTATTACAAATAAATTGCTAGGACCTTTGCATTTTTTTGTGGTTGCACCTTGTTGATGGAACAAATTTTATCAATTGGACACTTTGGCTTATCTTCACCCACCAGCATACTAGGATTTAAATCTATCTTGGCTAGAATTTTGGTGAATGAAATTTTGTGTTGATAATCGTATACAAAATGTTTGTCGAAGCATCCATGGATCTCTGTTCTCTGGAGCTTTAGCTCCCAAGCTGATCCATGCTGACTCTTTGATGTCAAGATATAAACATATGATAAATTTATTTTGGCCTGTGAAAAATCAGAGAATAATACAAGATTATGCTTAGTAATTGCAGTTTCATTGTTAAATTCTTTTTTTTTTTATATGCCAGCTGCTTGCATGACATGGGAGTTGGCGGAGTCTGGCAAGGACTTCATTACTACGGTTGTCAATGGCTCAGACCTGGTTCCAACATTTTCAACTGCTTCCATAGATGATCTTCGGTCTGAGGTATCATCGAGTCCTTTATTTAGTCGAATCTAGTTTAGTAGTCGTGATCTAGTTTTCTGAGGTAGTCATAGTTTTTCTATTTATTATATAATATTTCTGGCCTTGATGATAAGATGAAAATGGCATGTGCATTTTGTATTTGTTTAGTCTGCTAGACCAATCATACTTTTGTCACTGGTTTGTTATCTACTGGTTTATTATCTAGTTTAGCAAATTTGTACCGAGTCTCAGACATGATTGTTGTTGAGCAATGTCTAATTACTCCCATAATCCTAGAAAGTATCTTCAGATTCTGTTGGAATACCTGCTTTAAATGTTGCTTTTTTGATATGTGAATTGTATTATATTTTGGCAAAGTAAAAGTTTTTAGCATGAGATCTTGTTGACGTAGTCTTTTCCAGTATAGGCATGTGCTTTTCTAGTATATTTACATCTATTTGTTTAACACCAATATTAAGGTATGTTCTTTAGAACTCATTCGGTTGTACATCGCTGATACAGGAAAGTGAAAGTGACCAGCAGCTAGGTACATGGCTGGACAGTAATGTGAAAATTTTCTCTATCTAGCCTGAAAGGAAGCCTGACACAAATCAATCTGATCACATCAAGTTCATGCACAACACTGTTTTTGAGTTGTCTACATCTATACCATGTCATGCAAATATTTAATTTCTTTTTGCATGTAGACAAGCCAATGAATGTTCAAGTTACAAGATAATCAAGTTGTCCTTGAACAATGCTGATTATGGAACCTAATGTTAAAACTGTGATTCAAGATAAACCATCCTATTGATGTACAAGGTTCTCACATTGCAATTTACTTGTTTTGAATATTTGCTGTGAGGACTTTCCAGCACCACTGATGTTATTCCTGCTGATCTTCTATTTTATAACTATATATTTATTTTGTCAACTTCATTTAGGTGACGGCATCATCATGGTTAAATGATTTGAGAGATCAAATACAGCGTACTAGAATCTTAAATGTTATTTATCGCTCCGCATCTGCCCTAGGATCTCATTTGCCATCCATTTCTAGTGCAAGGGCTAAGGTTGCAGGTGCTGGTGCTCTACTTCGGCCTGTATCCAGCAAAACTCAGGTAAGATATATATGAACACTGCAGTTTTATAATATAAGAAAGTTATAGTTTCTAAAGTTTCCAAGAGCATAGTGATGAATCATATTTATCATGCAATATGGAAAGTAGATAGACTTTGTGACTGGAATCACTGTTTGATGGTCGTCTCAGATTGTATGAATTAAATGTCATCTGTTGACTTATACATTGAGCTGGTAGATGAATATATATATCAGAGAAAGTTTAGGTTTTGTGCTTGTAAAGCATCTTATAATATGTGAAAGTAGGTAATAAGAGCTCAAGTTACACAGAATGTGTAGAAATAGTGATTTGATTGATGCATGTTGCAGCATACTTTGGAATTGTATGGTCTGGGAGTTTGGTAACTCTGATACAACATTTTTTACAACTATGGTTTATGCTTGACAATCTGTTACCTGCTTGCTAATGAATGATAGCTTTAGTCCACTTCTCATACTTGTCTATCAACAAATATTACTGATATCACTTATCTATTCACGTGTTTTGTTAGTCATTTTCCTTTCTCTTTCAGTCATAAAACGCGATCTTCCATTTCCATTTCTTGGACTATCTTTTCAGCAAACTGATCAATTATTTACCACCTCATGCAGTTTCTTCTTTCAATCTTGAGCAATTGTGCACTTGCATTATTTAAACCATTTGAATTGCTATAATCTGACTAAATTTTGTGTCATGCTTCATTAGTTGGGGTCTTAGACTATCAGTTTTATTGAGGTTATGACTTTCTTGGTTCTTACTAGGTTATGGTTAAACGTGCACAATATGTTGCACAAGCAGTTGCTAGAAGCCAGTCATCATTCTCCTCTTGGACATGCATGGGTGCACGGCGTCGTGCTATTGGCACAGTCACTAAAGAGAAGGAACCTATTCTGCCATCTGCACCACAAAGAAATTCAGAGAAAATTAGTGTTGATTATTGCGACAATGAGATGGTGAATGAACCACAATTTGATAGTTCCAAAGATTCGGACGATGAGGAAACAGAGAAAGAGGAGCTAATACAACAAGATCAAGTTGGTGGTGCTTCTGCTGTTGATCAATTGACAGATGGTGATTTATGGTTTCAATTGGAAAAGGAAATCAATGAGCAATCTGACTCTACTGTTGGTGACGGTCAGGAGGATGTAGTGGCTGCTGTAAAAAAAATAATGGATGAGGAAAATGCAGTGCTGCAAGCTAACAAGCAGCAAATTTCAGCAGTTGCATTCGAAACGCACCAGTTTTACCCTCCCGGGAGAATCATGCATATGGTGGTGTTGCAAACTTCAGAGTCTGATCCAACGGAGAATGTCATAATGGATGAAAAGAATGTTGGGATCTATGAATCCCCAAGATATCTGTATAGTAAGATTAGGCTTTCGAGAACTATGATAAATGATCATTATATGCCTATGTATAAAATGATGATGGAACTACTGATTGAAAAGCTTGCCAAAGATGATGATGATGATCAAAGAAAAACGCTAATATGAAAAGGACAATAGAATTGATGTTATTGCAACAGCTGAGAAATTACATTTCTTTTGTGGTTACTGTGTTGGTATCTGCCATTGATTATTGTTGCTTCCTTTCATTTAGTGTTTCAAGGGAATTTGTGAATTGGAGGCTATTTTTCTGATGGATCTGAAGTCTGCTACTGCTTGTTCATCAGCTGTAGTAGTCAATCATATCTTGGGAGAATATGCTCCCAATTATTGGGGCTTATTGGGAAAACTGCAAACGGTAAAGCTTCTATTATTTCGGCTTGACTATCTGAGAGTAATTAACATTAAGCTATTATATGTTACACAAATGATATTCAACAAGTAAACAAGCAAGTTGTAGAGTTCCAGAGGCAGACCAAGCAGACCAAGCACTCAAAGGACTGAAGCCCTCCATCTACCTCATAGAGTTCCAGAGGCAGACCAAGCACTCAAAGGACTGAAGCCCTCCATCTACCTCATAAGTCGAAGAATATCATATCTGCAACGGCACCTGGGAAAGTAAGCTAAATAATGGCACCTTGAAACTCCAAAACTCGGCTCAGAACTCACATAAACCCTTTTGACTTACTCCTAACGTTTTATAACTCGATAATGTACAACGACGCATGTTTATTTGTTGAAAAGAATACAAGTCATATATCTGAGAGGGGACATTACTGCTCTCTTTAGCGGTTGCCTTTTCGTCCCTTTTGCTTGGTCCTTTTTGTTATTGGTATCTATCTATAACAATGTCATTAGTCAAACTAAAAGCAATTTGACAAATCTCTTTCTTGGCACGACTTATCATAAAACAGTTTCATCTTAAAAAAGTGCATTTATTCACCAACATATTTTCCTATCCATTCTTTTTTTAATGGTTACAAATATCCAGCTCAACAGCTACTTTTGTTTTAGTGTTCTTTTCCAATTATCTAAATCCTAAACGATATATAGTTCGATAATATAAAATACTCCTTTTAATCTGAGAGTTACAAAACGATCATATAGAATTCAAGCTCATTTCAACTTTTATTATTCAACATTAAAAATATTATCATAAAGAAGGTTCAACCGATCTATAATTGGCATGGTGGTGCATGCCGATGACACAGAAAGATATCCAAAATTATCTATAAAAAAAAAATAGATTAGGGTTTTTAAGTTGGAAGTCAATATAAATTTAGTATAATTTTATTAAAATATTCTAAATTAGGAAGGAATAGTAATATACATCTTTTTCGAGCTTTAAGGAGTAGCTTTGTGGCACGTTTAGGATTATTCTTTCGTTGATGTTAAATTATCTAAAAAGAAATAATTTGAATTATTAGGTTACGAGTTAAACTTTAAGTTTCAAATGAATCAAATAAAAAATAGATCGATCGATAGATATACTAGTTTTACCAAAAAAAGAACAATGAGACTCCATGAGTGGTGGATCAAGGTCCTCGATCCTATATATCTGCATAATCAATATGGCATGTTTGTCGAACTCAATTCTAAAATTGATCCCACGACTTAGTATACTGATACACTATATGCCACTAGTGCATCAATGTGGTGATAGTCATAGTCTGATTGTTGTAAACCACACATGTATGAGGCAGCTTCTATGGTAAGTACGATTGTGAAATGTATTGGTGCGGAGGTTGGAGAACGTCAAAACTTCTACTTTTGCCACTAACTTATTGCTTTGTATCATAAAACTGATCATCGTATTGTTGCTTGGAGAAGAATGACCAACTATTATTATACTATTGTTGGTTGTAAGATCTTCCATAATATGATGGTTGGGAATATAATAAGCTTCGCTATGAATCTACATCATGTAGCCTCTATTGCGTTTGCTCAAAATCATCCATTACCTTCTCTTTTCCCTTTCGTGTGTCAACTTGATGACTACTTCCTCAAGCCCCATGATTTGTATCTAGGGTGGCATATGTAAAATACTGCTCCTCGGTCGATGCACGACCCTCAAACTTAATATACGAGATCATCGATTTTTCGGCATCGTTACTATCATTGGTCGAGGCACTATTGTCCATGTCACTATCATGTCAACAAGTGAGCAGATTACTAAATGTAATTGACAATGTGTCTCATCACCCAAGTTGATTCTTTCTCATGGTGCAGCTAATATTACTGCCTTCCCCTTTACCTTTGCATATTGGATAAACGATTGTGATGGTTGAATGTCTCTTATTTCTCAAGTAGTCTGAGTCAATATTATCTAACTCCTTCCACCATGTTCTGACGAAGGCAGATCTTCCTCCTTTTGGGGATGTTGTTCCTCTTCTTCTATTGCCTTAGTGATGAAACGTGAAGGACAGAATTTCCTACCTCATCAAGTAAACAATTCTCTTAGTTCTTCTTTGCTTCAACCTATTCTATCATCAATTGTGAATCTTCCTTATAGTATTCAAGGTCGATGGGACCAATCTCTAGTTTCTCTTATTGAATCCTGGATTTTGATGATGAAATCAATTGATGAGTTTATGAACTAATGAGCGTTTGAGAAAAGTGACACAGGACAAACTTCGATTATGGAAAGACAAATCGATTGAAGTAGGAGAATCAAATATTGGGTCGGAGTTTATCATGTCAAAGATCAAGCATCGGGCTAGAAGGATCAGGTATTGCGCCAAGAAGATCGGATGTTGTGGGAGGTCAATATGCCGATGGATCGGGCAATACACTGAAGGAAAGGACGACATGCCAGAAGTTCTGATGAAATGCCAAATGAACTAATGATATGCTAGATAACATAGACTTTATGATTATAATTGTTGTGTCTTGATCAAATTAGTGTAAGTGTTTAATTGAGTTGGTCTTAGGTGTAATTATGCCAACTTGATTAAGAGCCCATTAAGCCTAAATAAAGATTGAATTGGGCCAATTGGAAGGCCAATTCAATGACCTGAGGTTGGGCCAAGCGGTGGCACTGTCAGGCCAAGAGATGGTACCACTTGTGAGTTAGAAAGTATGAATTGTAATTTATTAAAAAACCCGACGATGGTACCGCCACAGTTAGGTGGTGGTACCACCCAAACTGGTGGTGGTACTACTAGAACACAGTCTCCCAAGCTGTGTCAAGCGGTGATAAGAAATGAATTACTTGATGCATTTCATGATATATATGTGAATTTAGATTAATTGGTAAGAAATATAAATTGCTAAAAAAGGATCATGTTTCTCTCTCTGGTAAACTTGATAAATGAATATGACAATTACATATTAACTCCTAAATGTGAAGAGTTAGATTCATTAAAAAAAAAGAAAATTTATTATTATAATAAACATTAGAAAATTTTAAAATTGATAGCAAATCATTAAACATGATTCTTGCTAATAAAAATCATATACGTAAAAGGAAGGAATCAATTTTGTGAGTATTGTTAGGATTGAAATTAGCACTAAGAGGGGGTGAATTAGTGCTTTTCGGAAAACGATATCGATTCAGAAAACTTCAATGATTTGAAAAAGCTTGATTCAATAAAACCGTATCGAAAATGATATCGAAGTGTGCATAACTTAGAGTAAATGTAATAAGCAGTTAAAGTAGAAAAAATAATAGTAATGAAGAACAGAAAGAAGATACACACCAAATTTATAGTAGTTCGATTATCGTGATCTATGTCTACTCCTGATTCCTCCTCTATTGAGGCGACCAGCGTCCACTAATGATCTTCTTTCAATGGGCGAAGATATACCATTGGGATATCCTTGGAATCTCAAGTCTAAGGACTAGATATACCACTCTTTGATTGTTATGATCTATATCCCATATATTCTTACTTAAACAAATCCTTGGTTAGGGTCATTCGGATTGAAAGAAAAAGAGTTCTCTGGGAGAATCCAATTAGATTGAAACTCATGTAGAAACTGTATGGGCCTGACAGCACCATGCCCGGTATACGATCTCTTGGATATTAGATGGATGAGGGACTATAGATACATCACGATAATCTATATGAGTACTTCATAACATCAAGAGCGGATGATCCTCTATCGACACTCAATAGCCCTCGTAAGGTTGGCTACCACTCCCGATAATCAGTTGTGCTAGATCTGAAACTTCCAAACCTATAAGTTTGGTATCAAAGAGTGGAGTACTCATACAGAACATCCTTGGTATTTCAAGTCAAAGGACTAGATATACCACTAGGACGACGGAATCACTGTCTGATAATAAAGCATCATCAACCATCCAACATTCCATGAGCGGATTAATCAGTGAACTAATTCTCCAATGAGCACCTGCATTATATCCCTAGTGTCCCCACATGAGCAGCTATGAGACCAGCTGCATCCATCATATGGATGGGTATACAGTACACTAGTCTATTTGGTTACCTCGATGTCCCTCTCGAGTAACCTATGATTGAGATTATTTAGGATCTGTGTTTAAAGACAAATTGGTCTTATTATCGTGATCTCATCACGATCCGATTTGCATTGCATAGATCCATGGACATCACTATATATTTATGCAATAAGCAATATAAAATGATAAAATGTCAAATAATAATAATAAGTAAAAAAGATTGTGTGTTAAGTCATACGTGCCATCACTCACATGATTGGTTTGTAGGACACCTATGACTAGCACTTAACCCAAGTGGATCTTGCCCTATTGGGTATTTGATCTCCATCAAATTACCCAATCCTCTTAGATTAGTGGATCTTTGTCCAATAATCTCTTATTTGCTCTTATTGGATCTCATCCAGATGATCCAATAATTCAGGGGCTTATTGGATATCTAATAATTCAGGGGCTTATTGGATATCCAATAAGATAAGGACTCCGATGGATATCTCATACCTGAACCTCTACTTGTTGCAATATCTACCATATGTGTGTGACCCTCTAGGCCCAATATCGAGTTGGTCGTGAGTTATACTTGTCAGAACTCCTTCTAGCTTAGTGAATTATTATCTTCATATTAATTCACTCGACTCATCGACTATGGATGTACTAGGTCAATACGTCATATTCCCCAAACGATATAGGATAATATAATCCATTGGACATGTCTGTCCTCAGTTACCATGTATCTATTATTCCTCATCCATCTAATATCCCAAATATCGTATACTGGGCATGGTACTATCAGGCCCATGTTGAATCTCGGATTTTGATGATAAAATCAATTGATGGGTTAATTGATCTAATTCATATTATTGAGTTAAGTGTGCAGGATTAACTACGATAACCAGAAAACACAAAGCAAGAATACCGGAGTCAAGTTCGATGGACATTTAAGAGTCCGAAGAATCGTCGGAGATGCTACCGGAACCAACCGAGAAGAAATCGGGAACCTGTCGGAATTTTTGGAAGTTCGCCGAAGAGATCGTCGGAGGTTCACGGAGATCACCGAGAAGGCTCGGCTACTCGTTAAAGTCATCACAAGATCGGGAGCTTGCTAGGAGTCCGTCGAAAGAAGTTCGTCGGAAAGCTCGCCGAAACAAGACTCGACGTTCGCGGTTGAAAACTTGCTTAGGATGTTTTTAGTTATGTAGTTCACTTGTAATTAGGATTAGGATTAAGAGA